TCTCTCTCTCTCTCTCTCTCTCTCTCTCTCTCTCTCTCTCTCTCTCTCTCTCTCTCTCTCTCTCTCTCTCTCTCTTTGTGTCTGTGTCTGTGTGCAGTTTTCTTTTGGGGATAGCTCCAAACCTTAAGGTGAACAGTTGATTCCAGACAGATGCGAGCTCATGATGTGATTGTCAAGGCTTACATGTTTGTAGCATTCAGCCACCTGCGCTGGGTTGCAGGTGCAGGCAGCTGTTTTTAGGGTACGTCGAATCTTATGAATTGTCGACTTGATGGTGATTCGTTTGCGGCTTTGTGTCCTTGGATTCGGGATATGAACTGGGACTGACTTGGGTGGACGTCAGAAAGGAGGAACTGTGTGTGATTTTCCCACAGACTGTCCGTGTCTCAGAGCGCATGGGGCAGGACGGCCATAATGCTTTTGGCAGAAGTGCTTATGATTGCTGACTTTTGAGTTGTTATGAATGAAATCGAAGCTTGATATTGAATCGCCAGTTGATGTAGTGTTCGTATGTTCGCTGTTTATTGTGCAAGTGTCTGTTTAGGCACACTTGCACATTGTTAAAGAACAGGGAGCAGACAGAGGAAAAACAGATCACATAGACTTGGCCAACATTGGGCCTCGCTCCACTACTCTCAAAATGTGCAAAACGAGGACGACTCTTCCGCTAAAACCTTGAAAGGTACGTTGCCATATTTTTCTTGTCTTTTATGCATGTCGGGAGTAGTGGAGCGAGGCCCATTGAAGGGAAGAAGAGGGCCCACAACGAGCGTCACGAAGCAATATATGTGTGACCATCCTGGGGGGAACGAATTCAACAGAAAGAATCTGGAACCAAAGGCCTGTCCACCCATGTCAAGATGTAAGGATTGCTGCCTACGGACCCCGAATAGAACGCCAGGTCATTATCGCTGGAGCTGGACCAAAAGTTGGCCCAAATTCAGCTATAATGACGGGGTGTTCTATTCCGGTGAAGACAGTAGCAAAAAACATTGTGTATGGATTGCAGGTTTGCACGGCGCCAGGAGCTCCACTGGATACAATGGTCCGGTCCGATGCCTTAAAGACTTTGAAAAACTCAGCCCACAGGAATTTCACAAACGATGAAAGCCCCTTGAGCCTGTCCGTGAAAACTCCACGAATCAGGCCTGACGCAATGAGACCAGGAGTGCCACTGGTTAAAGCACACCACACCGCTGACCTCTTCCATGTGCTCCAAAACCGAAGCCCCTTTGGGGTCATACGGGGGAAGAAACACTGTCTGAGCGTACTATCTTGAACATCTTCGGGTTGAACCAACAAAGCAAGGACCACAAGGCCAGAAATTGTTAAACAGAGGCTTATCATGCACAGGCCAGACTGACGAGCGATGAAGTAACAAACCAAAGACCCTGTACGCGAAGTTAACGAATTCGAACCATTCACGGAAAACACTTAAGAACAGCCCATAAGTACATGGTCGTGGACGTGGGCGTGAGCGTGGACGTGGACGTGAGCACGTTCATGGGCGTGTTTGTGTGTGTGCGCATCGTCATGTTCGCTATACACAACTGCAGAAAAGAAGCAGGACTGTGCCATACGCGTGTCCTTATGCAAATCTAAGAAGAATAGCCAGGACCCAGATATTTATACAGCCCGACCATAAAAGATAATTATGTTCACTCCAACACAGGCTCTATGCAGACTCAGGGAAAAATAACGATGTCCGCGACGCACGTACAACCTTACTATAGAAGGGTCCGTACCTGACTCAAAACAAGACTATGTACAACTGAGCCCTGCACACTTTAGAAAGACCATATGAGGAGTGCTTGCCAAACTATGTCGAAAAAGAGGTAGACTGCATCTGCTTTTTCTAACAATTGAATGGAGCGATGATCTCTGCCATCTCTTCGGGCGTCCTCCATTTGCAGTCCTGAAATCATAAGCTAGTCCATGCAGCATGGGAATACCATGCAAACACTTGCCACTGTACACTTCATCAAGGAGTTCATTCCAATACTCGGACTGGCGCTGTGCACAACTCTGCAAAAAATCACGACTATGCCAGACTGTTCGTCCCTGTGAGCGATCATCTCTGCCATCTCTTCGGGCGTCCTCCATTTGCAGTCCTGAAATCATAAGCTAGTCCATGCATCATGGGAATACCATGCAAACACCCGCCACTGTACACTTCCTCAAGGAGTTCATTCCAATACTCGGACTGTCGCTGTGCACAACTCCGCAAAAAGCACGACTATGCCAGACTGTTCGTCCCTGTCACCGACTCATCAGGAGGTTGAGTGCTGGATACGGACTCACCAGGTTGCCTAGAGTTAGAAATACCCTTGAGAAAGGAGGTCGGTTTCCTCGCACCAACGCTGCAATCCTAGGGGTACTTCTCTCTCTCTCTCTCTCTCTCTCTCTCTCTCTCTCTCTCTCTCTCTCTCTCTCTCTCTCTCTCTCACTTTGTCTGCTGGTCCAAACTCCGGACAAGAATGGCATCTGGTCTCAGAAACTATCCCTTTTGATGATGCCAGAAGTCGTTTTGATATACGATTTTACCTTGTGTCTATTTTATTTCTTATTTTTGGGGCGACCGTTTGAGTCACTGTATGAAGTGCTCATTTGTACAATCAATATGTCAAATAAATGAGACGTTGTAGAAGTCCACAACGAGACGGACACGTATATCACAGCCATTAAACCCACTCTACACACGCTGTGTGTATGATGATGTGTGTGAAACAGATGTTAAGTAGCCCCAGGCTCGTCCGATTCCGCTTCAACGAGGGATGCTGGACCCGCTTTCCAGCAGTTGCTGCTCCCCACCAATAGACCGGAGCACCCAGGATTCTTGCTAGGAGGGAGTGCTTGTACCTCCTCTCCTAGCAAGGACACTGGTTTGTTTGAAAAAAAAATTGCTGGTAGGGGTTTATTAGCCGCTCCGTGCTCGTCCATGATCCGCCTAGCCTTGGGTGACCTGGGCCAATCTGGGCTTGTCCGCTGGATCTGCTTACCCCTGGTGCCTGTAACTGCTATTCGGTCCAAGTCACCCTCTGAGATGGTGGGGTGACATTCCTGAGTGATTAACACTTGGGTAGAATAGTGGGAATAGGGGTACGCGAGGAGAATTGATGAGAGGATGGGTAGGAAGGCGGCCTCGCCATTGTCAGGACAACCGGTGGCTGGCTGACGACTGCGCTCTCCATGTGTCTGGAACCTGGCCTCTACAACAACCTGGGCTTTGGGGGGAAAAAGAAGAAGAAGAAGAAGAAGAAGAAACATGCACCATACCACCTCAACACCTCAGGAGGAGAACACGCATGTGAGTGAGTTGAGTCCAAAGACAATCCTTCCAAGTACTACACCCAAACGGACCGCGCAAGGAGAAAAAGAAAGCAGCATCACTATAACTAGAACACTTATGAACAACTCGAGGCAGCGAAGGAAGAGGCAAACAAATGACAAAGAAGCAAAAGGCGTATGAGGCAACAAGGCTGGAGGGCACATGGGAGGTGGGTGGGCAGGCAGGCAGCAACCAACTAGGCGGGAGGGCACAGGGGAGGCAGGTGGGCAGACAGACAGCAGTAGGCAGCAAAGGAAAAGGAAACAAGCGAGAAAGCTGCAAGGCAAAGGAATAACAAGGCAGACAAAAAGAGTGTACCAAAGCATCAAAGTGAAAAAAAATCAAAAAAATGAACTGAGGATAGATTCTTTCATCAGAGTTGCGCCGAGTCATCAGGAGGCGGAAGTCTAGACAACGTGCAGAATCCTCGTTTTGATGGTTTGGGTCATGAACTCTTTGACCCTTGTTGAAGCGCACTAGCACTGGCGAGGGTGTGTTTCAAAAAAAAAAAAAAAAAAGATTGTCCACAAGCGAAACACACCAGCAGGCAACAACTCATGCAGCACTAAGAGGCGGCGGCAAAAGTTGCTTCGCTTGTAGTCTCTGAGGCTCCCCTCTTCGATCAGACTATGGCGAGCCTGCTGAGTGACCAATGAATTTGGAACTTCGTGTGTTTATTATTATGGAGTAAATCAACCAAGGGTAGCGTTGCCGAAATGCGCGTGGAAAAGCACTTGGTCGAACCGAGCAACAGGAGGCTCGCACCTCCGAGGCCAGCTCCGGAGATCCAGATTTCGATGTTTCACAGGAAACGTGCAGCAAAGCGCAAGACAACAACAACAAAACAGCCAAACTGCATGGCAATGTGAAAGGCAATGCATGCGGATGGGCAGCAAGGCAGCAGTGCAGCGAGGCACAAGGCAACACCAGCATCACAGCCACACCAGATAGTGAACACAGCAGCTGCAAAGAACGACATGCGGAGCAAGCAGGACAGGCAGCAAGGCACCAGCGGAGGGCAGACAATGCAGTCTGCACAGCCAACACGGAGCAAAGCGGCACATCACCTACTCACATCATGAGTGAATCCTGCAGACTGTTGGTTCGTGCCACCCACTGA